AAGTATTTGAGCTTCAGTTTCATTATCTGGCCTTCCAGGGAACAGTCAGGGTTGATTACTTTTAGGATTGACTGATTTGATCTTCTTGCAGTCCAAGGGACTCTCAAGTGTCTTCTCCAGCACCATAATTCAAAAGAATCTATTCTTTGGTGCTCGGCCTTCCTTATAGTCCAACTCTCGCAGCCATACATGACTACTGGGGATACCATTGCTTTGACCATGTGGACTTTTTTTGGCAGGGTGATGTCTCTACTTTTTATCATGCTGTTTAGGTCCGCCATCGCTTTCCTCCCAAGGAGCAGGCATCTTTTAATTTCATGGCTGCTGTCACAGTCTGTGGTGATCCGGGATCCCAGGAACATGAAGTCTGTCACTACTTCCACGACTTCCCCTTCTGTTTGCCAAGGTGTGATGGGGTCGGAAGCCATGATCTTAGTTTTTTTGATGTTGAGCTTCAAGCCCACTTTTGTGCTCTACTCTTTTACCCTGAGCAGGAAGTGCTCATGAAATCTTGCAGGTAGTTTCGGAACAAAGCTTCTCTTCTCCAGCTTCCACTCTAACCCACCTCCCTTGCCTCAGCTACTCAGTAGGGTTGCCAACAGGCCAGGAGGAAAATATCCTGTCCTTTTAATATGGAATGGATGGTATTTTATTTGCCACATAACGTTGTTTATTTCCATGATAAAAAAAAGTTTCAACAGCCCATTGCTATATATTAAAGGCACACAACCTTTTTCTCTAGACCAGTTATCAATGGAAACCCTCCCTAGTGCTTCTTAACGACTCTGTCTTCCCCCATTTGCATTCTCCACTATCTTGTTCTCCACACCACAGCACTACCTTAGTCTACCCATTCTGGCAAACACCAGGCATGGCTGGGTCTATATGGAAGAACTTCTGCCTGCATTGCAGAAGGCCCCAGGTTCAATCCCCAACATCTCCAGTTAAAAGGACCAGGCAGTAGATGATGGGAAAAACCTCAGCCTGGAACCCTGGAGAGCTGTTGCCACGCTGAGTAGGCAATACTGATCTTGATGGATCAAGGATCTGATTCAGTGGAAGGCAGCTTCATGTGCTCAATCTGCCAAGCCAGAGTTGATAACCTACCCTGCAATCTTAAGCAGTGTTCATTCAATGGACTGAGAAGCATACAATTCTGCTTAGGACTGCACTGTCAGAAACAAAACAAAGTATTAAAACTAAAGAGTACAATATGTGTGAAGTGCTGTCACGTCACTTCTGACTTTTGGTGACCCTTTGAATTACTGACCTCCAAAACACCCTATTATTAACAGCTTTGATCAGATCTTACAAACAGAGGCCCTTGTGGCTTCCTTGATTGAGTCAATCCATCTCATGTTGGGTCTTCCTTGTTTCCTGCTGCCTTCAACTTTTCCTTGCATTATTGTCTTTTCCAGTGAGTTTTGTCTTCTCATAATGTGGCCAAAGTATGACAGCTTCAGTTTGGTTATTTTAGCTTCTAGGGAGAGTTCAGGCTTATTTATCTGTATTTTTGGCAGTCTACAGTATCCATAAATATCTCCTCCAACACCACATTTCAAATGAATCTTCTTCTAGTCAGCTTTCCCCATTGTCCAACTTTCACACCCATACATAGTAATGAGGAATACTACAGTATGGCTGATTTCGCACAAGGAGCTGTGCCGCTGTCACAACTCCCTTTGCCCCGTTTCCATTGGTCAATTTCCCACTTGAAGCCGCGCAGCCACATTTTGACCCGTGGCTTTGCCCGATTTTCCCCGCGGTTTTGTGATCCTGTTTTTTGAGGATCATGAAACTGCGGGGAAAATTGGGCGAAGCTGCAGGTCAAAATGCGGCTGCGCGGCTTCAAGTGGGAAATTGACCAATGGAAATGGGGCAAAGGGAGGCGCAACAGCGGCGCAGCTCCTTGTGCGAAATCAGTCTATGAGTTTTCTTAATCTTGATCACCAACAATACATCCTTCACATTAAAAACAACAAAACGAAAAAACAAGTATAGGTGTAGCAATACAGAATAAAAGTACTCAGGCCAGCGTCTGGGAGACCCAGGTTTAGAACACCAGTTGCTCTTCCTCAGCCTTGCCTGTCTCACAAGGCAGTTGTTGTGAGGATAAAAGAGTTGAGGCAAGAATGATACTTTGGGTACCCATTGAGGAGAAAAGTGGTACATCACTTCCGGTTCTCTTTCTTCAGTCAGCTCCTCTTCTAGACTATGTGCGGAAAACATCAGAAATGTATTATTGTTACCCAGGGTTGCCAAGGGGAAGGGTGGGAGCTCAGCCAGGATGTGATTCCTTAGAGCAGGGGTCCCCAAACGTTTTGAGCCATTAAAAACATTTTGAGAAGGGGCAGTGCCACCCCAACATGGCTACCACAGGAGGTGGAATTGAATTGAATGCCTTCCTCCTCACACCTCCTGGGAAGAAAGAAAAGCCTGAAGCCACACACACTGACTAAAGAAAGCACAGATGCTTACCAGTCCTCCTGAGGGAAATCCTTTCATTTGAATAAAGGCAGCCAATAACAAGCTCTGCTTTACAATGCCCCCCCTTTCTTACAAGCTCATTGGGCACCAAGGGAAGCCTTGGTTGGGGAACCCTGCCTTAGAGTGTACCCTCTAAAGCTGCCGTTTACTTCAGAAGAATGGATAGCTACAGTCTCGAGATCAGCCCTGTAGCCAGAAATTTTTGTTCCGGGGCGCAAACTGGACCTGCTGGCAGGGGGCGGGGTGTGTGTGAATTTACCGTCACGTTGCCGCCTCAGATCAGCAAGGGGGTGGTGGCTCAGGAAGGAGGTGGATTGGAGAGGGTCAGGCACTGCAGCCTTCAAAGAAGGAAGGCAGGCAGGGAGCCCAGCTGCCTGCTTATGTGTCCCTTTGGCCATGCAAGGGTGCTGGCTTTCCCTCCCGAGGGAGCCAAGTCCTGGTCCCAGCTGATCATAGCTTGTTTGACCTCTTCCCCTTCAGAGTCTCCAGTATGGCCTCAGCAGGCCAGGCCGCCCTGGATCCTTTGCTGGCGGGCCTGGTTGTGAAGCTGAACACATGACGGGGCTCAGACAGGACACTGTTGCAGGCTGTGTGCAGCATCCTGCAGTGCTTCAACCCCGCACAGGTCAACTTCACATAGATCTAGCCAGCTGAAGTCCTCTTTGACCTCCCCCCCCCAACCCGGTGGTGGAGCCACCGACTGAGCCTGGGTCCTGGCAGCCACCAATGGGTGACAGGGAAAATTCAGGGGGCAGGGCAGATTTGGGAGGGGGCGTTGCCCCAAGGCCTTCCCTCTGGCTGTGTGCCTGCTGGAGGTCAGTTGTAATGTGAGGGGGTGGGAGAGCAAGGAGTAGCTGTTTAATGTCCCCTCTGCACCTCACCACCTGCTTTGTTCCTCTTGCTCCCAATGAGAAAGCAGAATGCTGGTAATGATTAATCTATATATTTCTTAAACTCAGGACTATAGTTAAATATATTTAACTAAATATATTTATTTTGAACTATGGTGCTGGAGAAGACTCTTGAGAGTCCCTTGGACTGCAAGAAGATCAAATCAGTCAATCCTAAAAGAAATCAACCCTGACTGTTCCCTGGAAGGCCAGATAATGAAACTGAAGCTCAAATACTTTGGCCACCAAATGAGAAGGGAGCACTCACTGGAGAAGACCCTGATGCTGGGAAAGATTGAAGGTCAAAGAAGACGGGGACGGCAAAGGATGAGATGGTTGGACAGTGTCATAGATGCAACGAACATGAAATTGAGCAAACTTCAGAGGACGGCGGAAGACAGGAGGGCCTGGAGGGGAGCTGGTCCATGGGGTCGCGAAGAGTCGGACTCGACTGTGCGACTGAACAACAACAAATATATTTAACCAACCAAATATATTTAACTAAATATATTTAACCAAATAGTTAAATACCCCTCCTACAACAACAAAACCGAACGAATGTGGTTCTCTTTCAGCATTCCAGCAGACTCTTATGAGCTGTAGCCCAGAAACATGTTATCTAAATAACCCAAGCAACAGTGCTTCAAGATTTCATGTTGCCGTCTGAAAAGTACGCAACCGGAGAGTGATTTCAGCAAAGCGTACTTTATTCTATCCAGAACAAGATGACTTTGGCCGGCTCGCAGGCCGGCTTATATCCCCCGAGAAACCACCACCCAAAACACACCCCTACTTCCCTACAGGTTATTTACAGTGGCCGAGAGTCCCATAGGCTCTCGGCCAGGAACCTAGCCCCCTGGTTGGAGCGGGCTAGGATCCGCATAGTCCATTGTCTCTTGGAGCGAAGCTCTGTGTTTGTCTCTGGACTTGTCTGGACTGGATACATTACACCGTCTATTCTAGGAGTTTTGCGTCATTCTTTTCCACGGCCCTCTCAGGCCTATGTCCTAATAGGGAGCCAAGCTGGGCTTTACAACAGGCCAATGTGTCCACCCCTTGCCGTCTAGCGCTTCTTTCCCTGAGCAAACGCAGCCTAAACGTGCAGAAGACCGAGGTGAGAGGACGAATTATGTAGTAGAACGGCGGCACTTAAGAGTTCTAGACCGCATCGCTTCAGATTGCCGTGCACTTCAAACAAAACTCTTTGAATGTAAAATCCCTCCCACACGGACGGGACTACGCTGCTCCGGGGCTTTCATTTGCTTAGTTTTCATCTATAGAGGATTTCTCTCCCCCCCCCTCCTCTAATGGAAGAGCACTGACAAAAAAGGTACACTCCTCCCACTTGCAGCCAGAAGTGGTCCATTCCACTCCGCCACCTCATTCCCCGACATGCGTGGAGAGGGGGCCGGCCCTGTAACCCGCGGCGACCTCTCCTCAGACGCCCGTTCCCGCATCTGGCTCCTTTGTCCCTCCCTCGGCGTCCCCGGCGCCCTGCCCTTGCCGGCTGCTCCGCTCGCCTCTCCAGAGCGCAGCGGCGTTGACCGGGCGCGCGCCCCCTGCCGCTCGCTGGCGCTGACGTTTTGCCATGCCGGCCACTCCCTCCCCAGTCTCCACCCGCAGGTTGCCGGAGCCGGGTAGCTGCTGAGCGGCTGCCGTCTCCGCTCCTCTCCCGTCTCAGCCTTCCTGGGCGCCCTGTCTGGGGCCGGCCACGCCGCCATGCCCCGCGCCGTCTCGCTCCTCCTGCTGCTCCTCAGCCTGGTCCAGCGCCGCTCCTGTCTCGCCGGGCCGTCGCCCACCGCCAAATCCCTCGACTGGCCGTCGGACCCTTGCCTCAGTCAGCCCTGCAAGAACAACGGCACCTGCTCCCCGCGCCGCGCGCCGCTGCTTTTCCTTCAGCCTGCCTATAGCTGTGTCTGCCCCCCTGGGGTCACCGGCACCTACTGCCAGGTAAGGCGCCAACGAGGTAGAGCTCTGGCCGTCGGCCGCCTGCCCAGGAGGGCCCCAGGTGCCTGCCCTTGAGTGAGCCTCGCGAGTTGCTCCTCTTCTTCTTCTCTAGGCGGAGGTCTCGGGGATCTTTTCGGTTCCTCCTCCAGCCCCCCCCCCCTTCTGCTTATGGATTTGGTGGGTTTGCTTCCCCTCCCTCGCCTCCTGCGTGTGCGCTCGCGGCCGCTCTCCGGCTGGGTGGCAACAGCCCCCGGTATGGTCCGGCTAATCTGGCCGTGGATCTCTCCGCGCGGCTGCCTTCGTCTCTTAGTCCGACCGCCTCTGGGTATTATACAACGGTGTCAGTGTCCCTGCAGCTCCCCTCAGTCCCGCTTGCGAGTATAAGACACACGCGCGGGCAAGGAGACGCGGCGAAGCCGTGCGTCTGGCGGGGAGAACGAGGGCAAATGGTGAAGAGCTTAGGCGAAGGGCGCGCTGGGCGCATTGTCCGGGACGGCCCTTTTTCTGTACGGTGCGCCCACAGAAGCGTTGCTTAGGTGGACTTGCCCTCCTATTAAACAGCGAGCGTTCTGTTCCGGGGGTTGCCTGAATGACAGGTCATATGTACCTTCAGTGGCGATGATGCAAATTGTTGGTTGAATCGATGGAGATTGGATTGAAGTGGAGATCTGCTTCTGTTCTGCTCAAGGTTAAACCTCGGTGTTTCATGGCATCCCTCCACTGCTTTCCTTCTCAGAACAATTTAAACACATGTTGTCTTAAAAAAATTCTGGTGTTCAAACTCATATGCTAGTGGTTCCTGTCCTAGGTGAGGTCATTAGACTTTAGGTAGCTTGTGGGTCTGGTCACATGTAGTGGCATTGCATTGTATTGATAAAATTTTTGAAAAATCTTAAGGTTTAGGAAGATCAAAATTCTGAAAGCAGCTTCAAATGTGTGTGTTTGTTCCATTTTGTCTTTGTATCGGTGTTGGAAAAGATCAGAATCTCTGCATTCCACTTCTGGTGAAGAAAGAAGCTCATTTCATGTAGATATTGAAAATGGAGTTGTGGTTTCCCTACTCTGGAAATTAGAAGAAAGAAAAGGAAAGGGAAATAGTTGGATTGATGAATGACAGGATTTAGGTTGCCCTCCTGTGCATGCTTACGTGGTAGTGGGTTCCATGGAACCAAGTGGGACTTACTTATAAATTAACATGGGTACTACTTCGGTGGGAAGGTGACAGCGGTCCGTGCACCTCAGCGTTTAGTCATGCTGGTCACATGACCACAGAAATGTCTTCAGACAGCACTGGTTCTTCTGCTTGGAAACTGAGATGAGCACCGCCCCCTAGAGTCAGATTCGACTGGCTTTTGAGCAAGGGAAACCTTTACCTTTAGGGTTGGGTTATTACCAGTAGAATGATTTGACTATGTTCAATTTTTCCTTCTTATGGTTTGTCTTTAATGGGCTCAAAAGGTCCACAACTTATACTAGTGCTGTAGCTTCTGTGAAAAATGGAAGAAAAAGGGTCAGAGAGAGAGAGAGAGAGAGAGAGAGAGAGAGAGAGAGAGAGAGAGAGAGAGAGAGAGAGAGAGAGAGAGAGAGAGAGAGAGAGTTCTTTTAAAGAAACCCAAAGATTGTGCATCGTAGTGCTCATTGTGGAAGGTTTTTGCTTGAGAGCAGGTGGGAGGGGCAAGGGGAGAAGAGTGGAATGCAGATATTTAAGAAATAAGTTGTGTATTCAACTGGAAGTGTCTCTTGTGCGTCATTAAAAAAAATTCACATCAACTGCAGATTGTGCAGAATCAAAGAGATTTTAGTGGATTAAATGGAATAATTTTAACAAGTCTGGCAGTCTTGTTAAGGAGGAATTGACTTTTTGCATGCTTTCTTCTCTTCTGGAAAGCTGCCACCGCCTTTATAGAATGGTATACGGTTGTTTAAAATGTTAATGTACTGTAATAAGGGTATATAGACAGAAGGAGTCAACATCGAAAATTTGCGTGAGGAGGAATGAAACTAGTTCCCTAGCAACTTGCAAATAGTTAATACAGTCATAACAACAGTAAATACTTATGAATAGTTCCTTTATAAATTACTGGGTTTGGGTAGGAGTACATAGACACTTGACTAGTTTACGGATTTGTAGAACAGTATTTAGTTCTATTTATGAGGAACTTTGATGAAGGCAGCAGTGTAAGCTTGGTAAAGAGGCCCACTTAAACCAAATGTATTGGACAAACAGGTATTAATGCCTGCAATGTAGAGACAAAAGATCTGGTGATTAGCGTAGATTAATTCAACAAAGAACGTATTTAATATAGTTCTTCCATATAATTAACTATGGCTATTAACCTTTCATCCTTTGAATGATACACTCCCATTTTTTCCTCTTAGATTTACATAACCCTGAATGTCCTAGTATTCACTCACATCTTACATACCATTCCTTACACCCCAATGCTAACCACACTTTGGGGTAATCAGTGCAACTTGCTTCTGCATAATGGGCATGATTCAGCCAGTGTAAAGCATATTTAAATTCCATTGATTTGCATGGTAGAGTTTAAGGACGTGCATAAAACTTACTAATAAAAAAATAAATACTCTCACCTAGCTGTTGTGGATAACATTGTGGCTTGGAGCCAGGTTATCTCACTCACAGAACATGACTTTCTCACCTCTCCTGCCTGCCGTATCTCAAAATGCCCCCTGAAATGCCACTTCTGGGGGATGGCACATTCTGGGCTACAGCAGGAGAGGGGAGGTGAGAAAGTAATACTCTGTGGGTGGAAATCCTTCCACCCATAGAAATGCTGCACTGGAACCAAGCTCCTAGTCGGTGGTCCTGGATACAGATGCAACCTGGGGTTTTTTTGTCAGAAGATATAGTCAGCCTGTTTCAACAGACTTTGGATGAGCAACACAGTGCAAATGAGGTGATACATCCAGATGCTCATCCATATCAGCAGTACATGCAGAAAGGCTTGTTTATGCATCCAGGTCTCTCTTGTTGAATAGGGGTGACTGTGTTGAACTTTTGCTGGATTATGTCCAATGTAATGGATGTATCAAACAGTCAATTTCCAGATAAATTGAATGTGTCAAACTGTCAATCTCCAGATAAATGTTCAGGAATAGACAGACAGTTTGGGCTTTTCTTTTCTTTTGTTCTGTAATTACTAAGATATAAATCTAAGGATTCAAGCACCTTATTTTTGAAATATTGATACTTTACTGAAAGAATTATAAAGGTTTCTATTTAGAAAATGAGGAAAGCTCAGAGGACGTTATTTCAGCCATATTTTAATAGTAAATTAACACCTTTAGGACAGTTGGAGTGCATACTTTTTTCTCACTGTGTTTAAAAGATATGAGATAATTTATTTAAGCATAATTTTCTTTGATGCATTTACATATGGAACTGTGGATCAGAGGAAGACATAATAATTTCAGTTGTGTTCCAAAATTCGGTAGTCAGATGAAACTGATCACAGTTGGTAACAGTTCTGAATTCTCTTAGTGATGGGTTAGCTATAGCAATTCCGGTACCCTCACTGCTCCATTGTTGCTAGGAGAAAGAAGACTGATACACTGCATGTGCTCAAAATATATAAAAACATATGGCAGCAGCTTTCTTCTACCAAGACTGTCCTATCACCTGAATTTTTTTACGTCTGAAGAAATAAATTCCACAATGATCTAGAGCAGAAAAACATGCTTATTATTTGTTGTTCTCTGTCTTTGCGGGCGAGAATTTAATAATGGTAGCTTTACTTATACACTAGGAAGACAGTTAGCTGTATCCTAAAATCCACGCGTTGAGGGTGATAATTGTGAAGCACTCAAACCCTACTCTCTGCCCCAGTGTCATGTGTCCCATACCATGGTGACAAGGGGAACCTCCACATTCAGAGTCACTAAGCCTCTGAACCCCAGAGCCAAGAGGTAACATCAAGGGAAGGCCTTGGCCTCTATGCCTCTTGTTGGCCATCCAGAAGCACTGATTGGCCACTGTGTGAGCCAGGATGCTGGACTAGACGGACCATTGGTCTGATCCAGCAAGGATCTTCTTATGTTCTTATGTTAATACTTACAAAACATCACAAAAGTACTTGAAAGCCTTCTTCTTGTATAAATGCACTTGTCTGAAAGAAAAAGGCTGTGGTCGGACTGGCCATAAAATCGCCAGCTAGGGATGCCAAGTGGGGGCGGGGGGCAGGGAAACCCCCGCTTTGGAGGCCCGATTTCTGCCACTGCGAAATCGGGCCCTGGGGGAACTCCGCTCCCATGACGCAGCCACGTCGCTCATGTTGGGGGCATGGCCCAGATCGTCGGAGGGAAAACTCTATGGTTTTCCCTCTGATGATCTGGGCCCGCCCTCAATGTGAGCAACGTAGCACGTCATTTCCTGTGACGTGCTGGCGGCGCCCACGCGCCCGCACACCGCCGAGGAGCTCCTAGAGCCCGCCGAGGCTCCCCTGCTGCCAAGGTGAGAAGACTTGGCAACCCTACTGCCTACAAAAGCAATTATTATTTACAGAAGCCACATGTGATTTGTATGCCTCCCAAAATGTATTTATTTATTTCAAATTTATAGTTCACCCTCCCCGTGAATGGGCTCAGGGCAGATCACGGCAATAGTTAGGCCATTCGGCCACACAAACGTAATAATAAATAGTTAATTAAAACAATACAACTGCATTTAAAAACAATCTGCACTGATACTGGTGCCACTGGTCTCTGAGTTTGCACAACCTGGGCCGCATGGAGATGGTGTCTTCAGTGGGGGAGGCCGAGCTGTTTTTACTGGATGTCTGCCACCTTATGTTCATGCCTACAGTCTCATTTGGCAAAGCCTAAACCTGTTGTTTTGCACTGCATCACATAAACTTTGCACATGGGGGATGCCTATAGTGATAGATCACATATTTTGCATGCCATAATCCCTTGGTTCAAATCCTGGCATTGGCAGTTAAAACAATTTTATGTAGCAAACCTAGCAAACCTCTCCTTGAGAC